AATTATTGTTGCTTCTGGTTAAATATTAAATAATGGTTAAAAAGGAGCAGAATCCGTGTATTATGAGCAATGCAGCAGGTGGCATTTGCTATTTGCGCTTCCTCCTCCTTTCTTATTTTTCTTCTTATTTTTTGTTATTCTCATTATTTTGGCTGAAATTAAGAATCAGTGCCTGGAAGTAGAATAGTCATCTGGGGATCATTCACAGAGAAGCCACATGCTAAGGACGGAGGAGCTAGCCAGAAAGAACCTGCTTCCAGATGACTTTCTGGAACAGTCGCACCAGCTCCACACCGACGTCAGCTTCTAGATTTGTTGTCATGTCATGAAAGGGAAAAAAAAGACATTTTACTGCTTCAGTTCTCTGAAGTTGAGTTTTTGTGTAAATATTTGTTTATGGCCAAATTTTAATAAACCGTGGCTTGTCAAGAGACATCAGAAGTTGTGCATGGGAAAGAGAGGAAGGTCAGGGGTTGTCAGTTGGGGCAGTCAGTGGAGGCTGTAACTGAACTGCCATGGCCACTGGGTTGTGCAGGTGGCAGATGTGAGTGTGGATGGTGGAGAGGCTGGTGCCTGGGTGAGGTGAGGAGGCAGAAGACTGTGATGATGCTTGGGGACAAAACAGCAGTTGAGAGGCAGGAATGAGGGTCAAAGGGACAGACAAGCCAAGAGGAGGGCAGCAGGGATCTCTGAGGCCAGATACCCGTCAGGCAGATGGGGACCTGTGTCCAGCAGGTCCTGGCTCAGGGACAGTCTAGCAAGTGTCACTCAGTACAAACTACAGCTCAGAGGCAGAAGATTCATCAGAATTTCTGCATCTTCTTGACATTCTGTGTAGCAGCACGTCTGAGCTGACATCCGGCAGGTCAGCTTCTGGTCAGTTGTTCTGCCTTTGTACAGGAGAAGGAGGAGAACCATCATTCAGAGGGCTGACCTGTCTGGGTTTCAGCTTGGGACCCCGCTGTCAGCCAAGCAGTCTGGGCATGCGCCGATTTCTCTCTGCAGGAAAATTAGTGGGAAGCTGGGCTGAGGTCGGCAGAGGAGCCACCACTCGGGCCTCCAGAATTACCCACAGTTAAGCCTTCTAGACTCTTCTCAGCCTGGGCAGGCATTTCTTTGCCTTCCATATATTTTTAATTTTGCATTTCTCCCGACGAGATGCACTATTATTAGGAAGAGAATTTCTTTGTCTAATGAAGGGATAACTGAATTTTCTAGTCAAGGAAAACATCTTTGTTACCCATATCAATATTAGAACCATTTCCTCGGTCTCTCTTAAATGTTTCCTGATTTTTGTCCTTTAGAAATTGTAAAGGAAGAAGCCCTCTCAGACACAGCCGTTGTCCAAGTCCCAAGTGGACCTAAATTTGGAATGCCCGAAATTGAAAGTTCTGATAATGGATTTGCTCAAATCAAGCAGAATAAAGTCCTTCCTCCCAGCATGAATAAAAATGATTGTAACCTTTACTTTAAGTGGCATGTATTGGATTTTGTAATTCTGGGGAAGAAAACATAAAATGGTGTAAGAGAATGGAAAAATCTGCCCATTTCTGTTACGTCACCCTTTTGCTTCTGTATTAGCCGGGGTTAGGATTAGGTTAGGATACAGAAATATGGAAAGAGACAGAGACACACACAGATTTATTATGAAGAATTGGTTTACACAATTAAGCCAGAGGCCCAGAAGAGCAGATGTACAGTTTTTGGTTTGTTTGTTTTTTATTTCTTCTTTAGTTTTATTCAAGCACCAATAAGATGTGCAGTTTTTTGTCTAAAACCCAAGAGTCTTGAAAGCCAGAAAGAGCCAATGTGTCAGTTCAAGCCTCAAGGTGGGATAAAATCCATGTCCTGGCTTGAAGGCAGTTGGGCAGAAGGACCTTAACTTTTTCATTGTATTTAGGCTCTCAACTGACTGACACCAAGGAGGGTGATCTGCTTTACTGAGTTCGAGGACTTCAGTGTTGATCTCATCTCGAAGCATCTTCACAGACACCTAGAATAATGTGAGACCAAATTTCCATCCACCCCGTGGTCCAGTCAAGTTGAGACATGAAATTAACCATCACAACTTAACGGGGATTAAAAAGTGGATGTTTGTAGCTTCGATCTGGCTCAGAGGTCAGTGTTTTTGAAGTTTTTCTAATTCATTCTTGTTAAGCCAATAGATCAGAGACCACCAAGACCCCTGTCTGCAGTGAAAATGAATTAGTTTTCTTTACATTGTCGTGGTGAGGATGGTTTTTCTCTGGGCAAACCCCGAGTTGTTGAGGGGTCTTCTTTTAGGGCTTCAGCTTGTGTTCAATGAATTTGAGGCGGGATTAGGAAGCAGGGACCAGTTCTGGATTTCACACTACTGAGAAGCCAGGTCACTGCAGAGATTGGGTATCTTACTTGTATTTATCTAGGAGGTGGAAGCATGAATGTGTTCTTAGAGTGTAATTGTTATAGAAGTGATACCGGATTTTTGATACTGAATTTCCAGGCTTTTGGTCTCGGCGGTTCGAAGAATGAAGCGACGGACCACAGGATAGGTTTTATTCAACAGGTATAAGTGTTGTAGTTCTTATAATAAGACAAACCTCCTTGTAGAGTAGAATTAGCAGTAAGATAGGTTTTATAATCCGAGTGTTACAGCTCTTATAAAGGAGCAAACCTCCTTGCAAGTGTTTACAGCTTTTATAAAGGAGCAAACCTCCCTGTGTTTACAGCTCTTACAAAGGGGCGAACCCCCTTGTGAGTGTTTACAGCTCTTATAAAGGGGCAAATCTCATAGAGCAGGATACAAGTGTTACAGAGCCAACCCTCTTTGCTCTTCTCCTGAGATCTGCCCAAGTCTGTGCTCAGGGTCTCTGGCTTATATAGGGGCAGTCATCCAATGAGCTTTTGGGGCTTGAAAATAGGCTAATCGTGAATAGGTTTTGAAAACGGACCAATCAGGGATGCACTGGAGGAATTGCCAGAAGTCCACATTAGGAGACAGCACAAGCACCAGTGTCTTTCCCCTCACGTGTTGGGTTCTTTTGGCTACTGGAGCCTTTGGTGGGGGAGGGAGGCTCCCATCCACTTGCTCCAACCTGCCGGTTCCTCTGCTGGCTGCTGCCACCAAGACAGAGGTGGCAGGTCCCCAAGCCCCACTCGGCTGAGCTGGCTGGGGCGCCACTTTTCTGGTATCAGAAGTATCTACTCAGAGACAGGTGATGTTAGTCACAAAAAGGGGATCATTAGCTATTTTGGTGCCAAAGTTTAGACTTATCTTTGTCTTCTTTTGAGCATTATTTGTAATCTTTAGGGAACGTGGTGGTCTGGTTGTCAGCATGGCCATTTTTCACTGTCTCATTATCAACAATCACAAAATCAGGTGATTTTTGCCTAAAATCAAGATTTGTCTACTCTTGAAAAAATATGAAACATTGGGCAATGTTGTGCTTTTATTTCCAGATGACACTAATCAGCTCTCTTAGCTCTAGTTTGCCCTAATCCCCACCCACTTCTTATTATTTGATACTAAGTATACTTTTTAATGTTATTTTGATGGCCTTTGTACACATATGCATTTTCAACCCTGGTCTAGATGATCAGCTAATAAGAGATTTGCAATGGAGTAGCCCTACCATTTCCAATGAATGAAAATGTCCAATTTTCTAAATTTGTTCCCAGTTATTGAAATGAAAGCATTTATAATCATTTCATTAAGGCATTATACATTAAAATTTGATCTACCTCACTTTTGAGGAAATAAAATGAAAACCTCAAAGCACCATGAATCATATTTCAACTGTCTGATTAATCTCTAGGTGGCTCAGCTGATGTGCATTGGATTTAAAAGACCATAAAGGAGTGTAATCCTCGTCTCCCTCTACTAAACCCAATAGAATCCTCTACCTTGTCAATGGGCCACTTTAGTACAACTGACAGAATAATCTCACTCAAGCTGGCCTAAACAAAAAAAATAAAAATTATTGACTCATATAAATGAAAAGCCAACGGTAAGACCTGTCTGTACATTTTGATCCTGGCACATAAACAAGCCATCTCTGGATATGGTCTGCTCCATGTCTTGTCTGATCTTTTTATTCTGGTTTCATCTCAAGCTCTGCATGGAGCTTATTAATCACCCCCAAACTTCTATCTTCACAGCTTCCAGAATTGACATCTTCACAAGCTTAAAAGCAGTGAAAAGGAGGACTTCTCCTAAGAGGATGAAGGAAAGTTTTTGGTCCAAATACCATTGGTCCAAACTGGGTAAAACAGTCATCCCTGAACTTATCATTTTGCAGAAATAGAATAAAATAATTGTCCCAGTTCTATTTTCTGATCCTGGAAATGGAGGTAGTCGGCCTCAACCATCATATCAAGAGGATCTCAGAACAAAAGTTGAAGTACCACTGATGAAGAACAGGTGAAAAGGAGGAGGGAGCTTCAGACAATACGCGTTCAGGAGTCTTACACAAAAAATATCTGCTGCAATTTGATGGGGTCGCTGCTTGTTCAGGGTCTGATCTTTCCTTGATACGTTCAAAACCAGCATGTGCAGAGATGTCAGGTCGTGGATTCTGAACAGCTGCAAACCTACTGGAAACTGATTTGTATAATGGCCCCAGGCTTCCTAGGAACCAGACTCTGAACTGGAGACGTGTGCAAGAAATTTATTGAAGAGTTTTCTCAGCTCAGTTGTAGGGGAGTAAAGGAAATAGAAGTGGGGAGAAGAAAAAGATTGAATGTGATGAAATAACAATGAAGGGCTTCGCCGGATGTTACAGGGAACTCTGGAGCAGGATGCTCCTTTATGTATGAGGGTCGAGCCTTTACATTCTCTTCTTGGGTGTAGGTTGTTCTCTGTAGAAGGCATGATTTGGGGAGGGTGACATTCCTTAGATGAAAGCCAACTCCAAAGAGAGATTCAGCTGGGAGCTGCCAGTGCCTAACACCTAGCTTGGGGGGGTGAGTGGGGGGGAGGGACTGCTTCCTTCTCAAGTTCTGGTGGTAGGGGGTGAGGAGAGGTCTTGGTAGCAGACCACAGCATCCACTACAGTAATGTATGACTCTATCCCAGATGTATAACCCGTCAGGGAAAACAAATACTTTTATCAGTCCATCAGATCATCCTAGTCAAAGAATGAAAGTTTTTCTTGGAAAGCATGAGAACTATCAAGATGTCATCACTTGGTCAGCAAAGCAGTAAGATTGTAAAGTAGGGCAGAAGATACACGTGAACGGAGCCACCTCCCTGCAGTCTGTGCTCCCCACCACAGCTATATGCTGCTCCTGAGGCAGAGTAGGAATCTGATCCTGTGGACGTAAATCAGACCACTGCCTTCCTACAACAGACCTAGGCTCACGTATGTATTGACTTTTACGTTTCAGCTCACTTTATCTGGCATTTCTTATTAATCACCCCCAAACTTCTATCTTTACAAAGTGTTCTCAGGAC